CCTCTCCCCTGGGCCCAGCCAAACCCTTTGTCTTCTCAAGCACCCTGTAAGTCCCAGCAGTCAGGTTTCACCACAACTAATGGGGAAAATTCTACAGGTGAGAAGAAACCAAAGGAAGGACACCTAACCCCCAACATTTTGCCTTCTTTGTGCAACACTGGGAAGTTTCTGGCCATCCAGAAAAGTACCAAAATGTACCAGCCCCCCACTGTGCCTGGGCAGTTCTGTAAAATTAATTTGCTAATAATTAACGGTGAATAATTAATGGTGAATTCTTCTGTTTTACTAGTCCTGGAGGTGGCCTCCTTCCTCCCTTGAGATTATTTTGCAAAACAAATTATTTATTTTTCAATAACAGATCTATTAATTTCTGTTATTTTTATTCTTCCTATATTCCTTTGTAAGCTAGTTACTATATTCTCTATTTCTTAATGTGTTTCCTGATGCTTTAGTTTTGTTCTTATACATTAATCTGGAGGCACAATTATCTGCCCTGCTGGAATTTTCTGTAGTTTCCAATGATGGGGCTACCTGCCTGTCCTAATTTGGGTTTTGTTCTAGGACATGCAACTTGTTATTAGGAATTAGTGCAAGGATACTTTTTTCAGCAGCCTCTTTAGCTGCTTCATCAGCTAAATGATTCCTTGTATTAACTGGGGAATCTCCAAACCCATGAGCTTTACAAGGGCATCACAGCCACTTTTTTCAGTTTTTGCACACTTTGTAGCAGATGACTGATTTCTTCTTTGTACTTCATAGGAGACATCTGATAACAACCATCTCCCCTTCCATATGGTTTCACTGGTGTGTATCTTTGTACCTTTTTACCTTCAGTGATTTCTAGCACTCAGTGTAAGGTCATTCATGCTGCTTTTTGTGCTGATGTGTTAAAAGGTAAAGCCTGGGTTTATGTTACCAGAGTCAAGGTTCCCCCGGCATACCTGGCTGCCCATAATGTGCTGCTCCCACTGGTGTGCAGGTCCAGTTCCTGATCCTGGATGGAATTGCTGTTGAGATCCAGTCTGCCAGATCACACTTGTTCCATGGTTAACAGGCAGTCATGGCACAAATTAAAGTAAATTTGCTCCAGACTTCTTCAAATCCCCAGAAGGTGTCATCTTAAGTTGTGTGTTGAAAAATTTAACTTTGTTAGGGTTGTTTGTTTCACAAACTATATATTGTTGGATTCTTGATTGAATCTGAGCCATTTTAGACCCAATTATAGATTTTTGCACATGTTTCAAAAGTTTTCCAGTACTCCAATGTATGCTTGGCTTTGTGTTCATACTCAACTACTTCACACAAGATTGGTTCTGGCAGTACTACTTGCCCTGTTAGGGTAACT